ACCACTGACTCACAGCAAAGCTGGATTGGAGCAATAAATGTCAGCAATGAAACAGTGACACTGACACTGTAATTTACTCTGAAAGTTGACAACAGCACACAAATGAGGACTCCCTCATTGGTTTAATATCCAACGACTCTGTTGTTTACCAGCAGAGCAAACACAGCTCTGCGATGGCTAATGAGGAAGTCAGATTTACAGGATATCTGGATGGTCAGGTCCTTAACACTTATTTTCACACATTAGGTAACAACTGTTGGATTATTGCCCAAAATGCAGTAACAAGCTGTGTGTGTTTGGTGGCAGGACATGATAAGACAAGATAACCTTCGTTAGTCCCACGCGTGGGAAATTTTTGTTACAGGAGTGGACAGTGCAAAGTTGCATAGAAAAATTAGAGAAAACACTGGAATAAGATATCAATAAGATACTGTACACAATAGGATAGAATAAAATTAAATAAAATACTATATACAATTGATTAGAATAAAATAGAATACATACAATATGAGTATAATACAACATTGCCAGAAAGAGTATTGCACATTAGTGTTATTGCACATGTGTGGATGTGTTTGGTCAGTTGGAGTCTTTGTTGTGGAGTCTGACAGCAGTGGGGAGGAAAGACCTGTGAAATCTCTCCGTCACACACCGTGGGTGCTGCAGTCTCCCACTGAAGGAGCTACTCAGTGCTGTCAGAGTCTCCTGCATGGGGTGGAAGATGTTGTCCAACAGGGATGACAGCTTAGCCACTATTCTCCTGTCACTCACCACTACTGGGTCCAGAGGGCATCCTAGTAAAGAGCTGGCCCTTCTGATCAGCCTGTTCAGTCTTTTCCTGTCCCCGGCAGGGATGCTGCTGCCCCAGCAGACCACACCGTAAAAGATTCATAGAAGGTCTTCAGGAGTGGGCCCTTCACTCCAAACGACCTGAGTCTCCGCAGCTTGTGGGAGAAGTCTGCAGTGTAGATGGTGAAGAGGAACAGTGCCAGAACTGTTCCATGTGGGGCCTCCGGACTGCAGACGACCCTTTTTTCCTGTAGGGACTGGAAGTTGAAGTCTCTGGGCCTTTATGATTGGGGCATAAACACTATAGCTCACGGGGGTATCCTCATGTGAGGGTGGTAGCAGTCTGGTGTTAAGTGGATTTATCCCAGAACTGTAGTTTGTGTTTTGTTCCAGGTGTTTGGTTAAAGTTGGAGCACTTAAGCTACTTGGTTTGGCTCAGGAAATATTACAGTTGGCGCCCTAGGTCATTAGAGTCATTTCAATAAGTGCTGATTGGCACTTTTTAGAAATCAGTAGCATTTTTGCTGGCTGTGTTGATGGGCTTCATTGTTGGTGTATGCAGTTGCAAGATGGTCTGTTGTTTATGTAATTTTTTTCCAGTGGTGTGGGTGCCTGAACTGAAGGCACACAGCGTACGCTGCTGTGAGCGGGTTAATGATGTGATGTAAGCATCACCCATCAGAGCAGCGTCACAATCATGGGCTGGTTTTGGTGAGGTGGTGACGGATCAGGCTTTATGACATTTATCTATATTCATTGTTTCCCATATTTTTTATTACTATTATTTGTAAATGTATGCCTTTGTTTGCTTGTCACATTACAAGTCCCACTTTAACCATGTGCAAAATCATCCATCACCCCCAGTGTACGACCTTCGGCTGCAGTTTCCAGCTTTCTGCATCCTGAGGTTCAGCTGAGCTCGGGGCTAAAAATGCATGTGTGAAAAGCTTTGGCTTCATCACGACGAAGAGCTGAAACATCAATCTCTCTTTACTTTCCTGTCAATCACGCAGCATAGCAGTTTGTCCCTCACAACCTTTAGTTATCACTTTATTGAATGTTCTTCACATTCGAATCCATCTGATGATTTTTCATACTCTCGCTCACTGTTTCGAGCTGTTTGAGGATGTAAA